CCTGGCAGTTGAAAACTCGACTGTTAAACACGTTGCAACCTGCAGTCTAGAAGAGAAGTTCTTTTGGACGCAATGGCAACGTTTTCGTCCGCAGGGAACGAGGGAAAAGGGTAGCCTCCAAAAGACACGTAGAGGTGCCTGGCACGTTGAGCATCGCTGCGAGCCTTATTCTACATCTCTGATTTGCTTCCTTCTCAGGCGAATTGTATGGACTGAGGAGGGCTTTCCAACTTTAAGCATCAGCCTTTGATTCCTTGGGAGATCTGCTCTTGTTGGCGAAGGAAAAGCCATCTGGGCCAGCCTGTGGCCTACACGAACCAGACTCTCTCGCCATACTGGCCTCTGCCTTTCCCAAGTGATGAAGTCAGTCATGGTGACCTATGTTGGGGACCCAAATTGCTGTAGGTCAATCCTTACTCCTTTTGCCAGGAGGTGGCTTCCCTTGTAGCAATTCGCGACCCACTGCAAAGGGCGCCTACTTGGTCAAAACATATCTGCCATCTGGCAAGGCTGCTGCCTGGGCCAAGGCATTTCCACAGATGTGGGCCGCCGTCCCACCCCTCGAGCTGGCTGCCGGTTGTTGCGGCATGTTGAATACTAAGGGTGAAAACAAAAAAGGTTGAATGGGGGTTGTGGGGCACCTTAAAGTCCATTGAAGCCATGATCATAGGAGCAACATGTTAGTACATATTACTACCTTCAGCGCATGTCAGCCAAGAACGAGCAGATTGCATTGCGGCCTGTTTTCTTTCTCGAGCGACCTGTTCCCTGGTCCTCTCCATTGACTGTCTTCCCGGGAACTCCACAGTTGAGGGTCCTTGCGTGACAATCCTCGACCCTTTCAAGTCGTCTAGCATGTGGAGCCCTCAGCTCCGCTATGATTTTATGCCCAAACAAAGAGCCCGGCCGGTGGCCACAAGACCACTTTCATTTGGGGAAATGAACCCCCCCGCCGGAATCGGACGGAAGGATTTCGTCCTTGGTTCACCCAGTTTGGGTACCCTACTTTTGACCCACAGCCAAAGGCCAAGGCCTAGCAAATGACCCTCCGCAGGCCCTCGCCCTGGGCGCTTCGAGGCCGCGGCGCCGAGCCGGCTGGAAGGCGAGCCGTGCAGGCCAGGAAAAGTCCAGAAGTGCGGACCGACGCCATGGCCGGGGGAAATGGTTGACTTAGGGCCGGCTTTACCAAGGCGAGAAAGGGGGCCGGCGTTTGGTGATGCGAAAGATCCAGTGAGAAGGGATGAAGTAGTCGTGGGCCTTGCGCATTTTCTGGATGAAAAGCAAGGATGTTTTGCCACATTTCTGGGCGGAGGCAAGGCCGGCGGTCAACTAGCGAGTCTGACTTCATGCATATTTTGCGCCGTGTTCCCAGAACAAATGCTCTTCCAGGTTCGCTTTTGCGTAACTTTGGAGGTCGCCAGCGGTTCCTTTCTTGACAGTCAGGATGGACCTGTTCCGGACTTTGGATGTTGCAGATCCGAAGCGTAGCTGAGTGTTGTGATATGTTTGTTCGGATGTGCTGGCAAAGCTAGCAACTAAAGCTTGTTGTTTTCCTTCAGCCTGCCACTTGGGCTTGGGGTGGGTGGGGGGTTGGGGTTGCGACTTTGACCAGGTCAGCCACCATGGCGCCAGTTTCTTGGCTCGGAGGTCGCCTTTTGGGAAACATATCAGGTCGGTGCTCGCTGGGCGCCTGGCGCGCTGGCCTCGATGTCGGCTCTGGTTGCGAGGCGCTGGCTTAGCCTCCCCGATTGTTTTTCTTCCGAGCTACGCGGGTAACCCTCAAGGGAACCCCTGAAGGGGAACAAGGGAACAAGGGAAACAACTTGAAACCAGGGGTTTATGGTTGGAAAAAGGGAACCCCCCCTGAAGTGTTGGAATCTACCAGGGGTTTGTTGTTGGATGTGGTTCGCTTGCGCTGGGACATCACCAAGCTTCGGAGAAGCTCCACGTCGCAGTCAGTTTTCCTTTTACGAGTGTGTGTGTGTGTGTGTGTGTGTGTGTGTGTGTGTCGTGAACAATGGCCTCCCCCCTCAAACAAATGGTGGGTTTTCGTTGGGTTTCGCTTTTGACAGTCTAAACCTTTGGTGGCTTTCTGCTTGGTTTCCCTACAGAAGGATCCCAGGAGCAAACTAAAACAGACACACCTGGAAAAATACCCAACAGAGTATTCCCTGTATTTGGAAGATTACTTTTATTTTTATTTTTGTAAGGAGAACCACAAGGTAACCAATCCCATATCCTTGCACCCAGAGGGGAATCCTCCAAAGACCAACTGCCTTGGGTTACCTTAAATCAACCCCAGAAGAATACCACCCCCCAAATAAGCAAACATGTTTACGGGTTGGTTTCCTTTCGCGTTTCCCTTTTGACACCAGGTGAAACTTAAACCACCACTAGGGAACCGCAGGTTTCAATTTCCATTTACCGTACCTATGTTTGACGCAGAGCCAAAAGGGTACCGACTCGCGAACAGACTTCACGCAGATCGACTTTCAGCCTTCTGCAGGCGGAGCCGGCGCTGCTTTCGGCTCCGCGTAAGTGCAGGCGGGGGCCGCTTTCTGAGTTGATGTGCCCTTTTCGCTTTGACTTAAAGGGAAACGCAACGCAAAACACCCACCATTGTTTGGGAGTTGATGTACCGTTTCTGGGGTTTCGAAAATTGAGACTGGGTGCAAATTAGACCATTTTGAAGTTTCCAAAGGATGCCAAGATGGGAAACCGACACCCTGTTTAGAACCCAGGAAACCGACAGGAAACCAACCATCTTCAAGCAGCATTGATTCTGAGACCACACAAGCGAAACAATGCTTTGAAGAGGGCCCCCACAGCGTTTCCTCTGATTCTTTTGGTGTTTTCTTGGTCCGGTCGAAGCAAGCAGAAGGGGGAGCTGACATAGTGCGAAACATTGCACGCGCCAGGGATGCTCAGGAAGTTGAATGACCCTTGAAATGACCCTTAGCTGTTGATGGCAAGCAAGGGAGCTGTGCGGCGCCTCTTCAAATCCTGTACAGAGAGCGTATGCTTCAGAATGGCTCCATTGGCCAAGCCGGGCTTCGGGCGCGTTTTTTTTTTTCCCCCTCAACTTTTCGCCTTCCTGTTGGTGTGTGCTTTGTCAGCACTGCCACTCAACACCTGTGATTTTTTCTTAGTGTTTGGCACCACGGAGCGGTGCTCGGCAGGTTGACGTTTCCCTCGTCTGCAGGGAAAGGCTTGGCTCGTCTGTAGGCGTGGCTGGAAGATCTGGCACGTTTTCCCATACTCGCCGCGAGACAGCCTGGTGGAACGCGCGGGTTTCGCCCTCGAGGCGCAGGTTCTGAAAACGGAGACGGTGCTGAGCTTTGCATACCGCGAGTGAACTGGCAGGGCAGGAACTTGCTGGTTGTCAGCAGGGAATGAAGGATGATCTCTCTAAACCATCCCCTATGGTTTCGGTTCATTCCCAACACCCGGACTGTCGTTCCCTACCTATCGCACCCGCAAGGAACATCAGATTGGCAGTTGGGTTCCCTCCCGCCAAAAAAAGGTAGGATTTTTGGAACATTTTTTGCAGCCATCGACTCGGCAGGTGCTTGGAAGCAGAAGCACTTGGTGCCTGACCCAGCGGATGCGCACAGGTCGGTGTCAAAATGGGGGAACCTTTGCACTTTCTTTGGTTCTTTTTTGTTTCCCTTTGAATTTTCCTTGGGTTTCCCTTTGGTTTCCCTTTGGTTTCCCTTTGGTTTCCCTTTGATTTCCCTTCGGTTTCCCTTTGGTTTCCCTTTGGTTTCCCTTTGGCTCTGGTTTCTGGTTGCTTTTTTGTTCCAGAGAGGGTGTATACCTGAGCATGGCTGGTGGCAGTGATTTGGAGCCAAAGCAGTTGAGTTGCCAACGGAGACAGCATAAAACATGGGGGACGAACGAGGGACCCAGCGTAAGATCAGCACAGTTGCGATGAGTGGCGCAACTTTGGTCGTTCGATGACAAAAATCGTTCGGTGGCCTACTCAGTGCCGCGTTTTTGGGCTGTCGCAGGTCGAGCAGCCCCGACCTGTAGAATTTTTGGTCCAATCTCTTGATGTCTCATGCCCAACTCACCACATCATTTTTTCTGAGGGATCGGCCTACAGATTTTGACGGTGACCCCCTTTTGTAGAGAGTTCTGGCACCCAGTCTCCTCACATGCTTCGCAAAACGGGGGCCGAAGCCTTCAAATGTTTCTGCCAATTCTGCAGCTGCCCCAAGGCGCCCCAAGATGATCGGTGACCGGAGCCGCGTTTTGACCTTTGGTTTTGGAGCGTGTTGGTCCAGTAATGTTCACCCCGGATGAATAAGCCCCTGTTTAGTAATATGGGGGTGTTCCCCTCCAACAGTGATGAATCCCCACTAAATCTAGGGACACCCCCATATTAATAGCAGGGGCTTATTCATCCGGGGTCAACATTATTGGCGATGGCAATGAAGCAGGCTGAGCTTGTCTCTCCAGAACGTTTGGGCACGCACCGTGATCTTAGGCTCGCTTGCTGCGAAATGTCGCTGCTATTTTCAGTTACCGTGAATTCAAGACCGGTTGGTGACTTCTCGGTTTTCTCCCTCAAAGGGGGCTCGCCATGTTGAGACATTCATTTCAAATAGCAGAGTCGAAGAGCGACAAAAGCATGTTACCTCAATTGATGCTTTGGGTTGGTGGTTAGTGGTTAGTGGTTTGCGCTCTAGAGACAAGGGGCTGCCCCTCTATTGACTCAAAAAGCTAGCCATGGGTTGAAATCCTCAAATCACCAATGCAAAGCATCAACCCCAAACCACCAATGTAAACCACCGATCACTGCACCCATGCAACCACCACAGTCCAAACCACCAATTCAAACCATCCATAGACCCCACCCATCAAGTCTTACCACTCCCAAGTCGGGGGAGAAAAAAAAGAAGGAAAAAACAAAAAGCAAGAACAGTGTACCAAAAGTGAGAGATGCATAAAACCAGCCCGGTTTCTCAACCCGTGAAAGACCGGTTCACGTCTTTGACATGTCCGGGGCTGGCTGGCTGGAGCTGCACGGGGGGCGCGGTTTTCAGGCCATGGAGCTGTCGGGTCTGCCGAAGCACCCGGTGAGGAATCCCAAGCTGGAGCAGCGCCCTAGGGCCCTGAGGGCTTTGGTTCTTCTTCTTTTTTTTTTCAAATATATTTTTATTCTTTTTTTTTTTTGGGGGGGGAAATTTGGGGACTTTGGGGTTAGTTCTTCTTCTTTTTCTTTTTTTTTGGGGGGGAATTTAGGGAGTTTGGGGTTTAAAGGGGTTCATGCCTTCTTTTTTTTATTTGGTGTGGGGTTTGGGGAATTTGGAGGGTTGGGGAGTTTGCAGGGCTGGGAACTTGGAGTTGTTGGTTTTTGAACCTCTTTTGGGGGTTGAGACCAATATTCCAGTTGCTGAAAGATACACATATATATATATATGTTATGTTCCCCTGTTGGTTTTAAAGGGAATCTATGACTATTGGGAATATGTTTTTATGTTTCCAGGGGACTGAAGCAAATGGAGGTCAATATTCCATTTACGGCCCCCCAGTTTGACCATGGGTAGCTTTCCCATGTGGTGACAGTATGCGTTGTCTGGTGGTTGGGGACTGGTGGTTTTCCGTTGAAACCATCGCCACTTTTGGCGGTTAAAAGTGAAAAGGGACATGGGGCCCCCCAACATGGCGCGACGGTTTTCCCTTCCCTTTCAAACAGACCAACTAATATTTAATACAATCTCCAAAAAGGAATGTTTGCTCGGATGTTTGTGTTGCAAGTTTGCAATGGTTATGTCTTAACGTTGGGACGTGACTAGCACTCCCCCAAGATTAATGCGAACTTGTCTGAATCCCTCCGCCAAGACTTTGTTTTCCTTTCAGACAAGGTTGGGACAAGGTTTTCATCCCTTAAAGCACCCTCCGGCTAGTGCTAACCTTCCCTGCCCCCCAGAAATTCGAAACATGAAAAGCAATTCTAAATTATTCAAAGCCATTGCACATACTTTTTCCAATCCTACTTGCTCTTTCAGAGTGCCGCGGATTGCCATAGCTGATCTCTAACATGTCAGCTCTCCATGCCCATATATACAAAGTTTCGTTTTACTTTCCTGTCGTTGGCCCAAGACGGGGGAGTGCGGTGCTCAGGAAAATGCAGCCGAACACGGTCATGCCACTTGAAGTACACATGCATGCCCGTCGGTGATTTTTTGCGAAGCGCGCCCCTTCGAACCCTCTCTTCAAGGTTCCAAAAAGCGGATGGCTTTTTTGGAGCCTTTTGTGACATCCTTGAAGGGACTAGTACCTTTCTTCCTTGGAACTTGCTCTTCAGGGGCCAGATCGCTGGCCGGGCAAGAACACATCTTTCTCTGACACGCGTCGTTCGACATGGCGCTGTCTTTGTGGAGCCGGTGTTTTTGGGTGGATACCTCGTTGCCAAGCTCCGAAAAGTCATGCTGGCCATGGGCAAAACGCCCAACCAGCAAGTCTCAGACGAGCCCACCTTTTGTTTTGGAACGAGCCCACGTGTTTTTTGGAGAGCCGCCCTTTTCAGGGGAAGTGCTTCGAACGCGGTGCCTGCCTCGATCTCGCTCCGCGGAGAACAGCCTCCCGGGGCAGCTTCGAAGGTACGCCACGGACGGCGACATTGCGGCTCGCTGGCTGATGGGCATCGATGCGCAGGACGACTTTCGCCGCTTCGGGCCTTTTTCCAAGCGAAGCTTTTACTTGTTTGGGTTTTCTAAGGGGCAAGTGAGACTTTGGAGGCTTTCGGAATCGGGGGACTTTGGGCATTTCGACACGGTCGACGAGCCAACTCTTTTGACCGTCTCTGTGTGGCAACCTGTTGGTCCTGGCATTTGGCACATGGATCAGGGCAATGGATGGATTCACTCCAGAGTGCCCCACAATCACGTTGGCTACTTGGCATTGGCATGTGACTGACACCGGTTAATGCATCAGACAACTGCAAACATGCGCTGAACTGTGGAGTCTGGAGCTATTGCATGTACACCAGTCGCAGAAAAATTCGATTGCTTCAGGACCATATTTGATCTCCAGTTGTGTCGGGTCGGGTATCAACAGACGACGGAGAGGAGTGGGTTTTGGGAGTTATTGTTTTCTCTCTGGACCAAACAACTATCGGTTTGTGGGGTCAAATCTGGCTAAGAGATTCAGGATATTCGTTGGCTGCCCTTTGTTCTCGCATATGTTTCTTGGCATTCGACATCGCAGGAAGGGCGCAGGGCTTGAGTTCAAGCGCAGGCAAGTTTGTTGCGACGCAAAGAAAACAGCAATGTTGACTCCGAATTAATCCTCCTCTGGTTACTCAATAGAGGGATGCCCCATTTAAGACGGGATGCGTCACTTTGGGGAAAACATGCCCTATTGATCGGGTTTGTTAGTCTGGGGGCGATATCACTTGGGCTGCTTGGCTTTTGCCAACACTGGGGTCTTGCACTGATTAACAGTTCTGTTTCTCGGACTGTGCCAACATGGTGATTTTGAAAAAGCACCTTCTGTCAAGCCTTTCTTCAGAACCGTAGTAACCACATATGTGTGGCGTCCTTGGCCGTTGATTGCTACTCCTCCGATTAAAATCAAATCTTGAGAACATTGCTTTTGGAGGACACTCTCTCTCTCTTTCTCTCTGTTGCGGGACCCCGCGTTTTGGGTTCCTTCCTTCCGTGCGCATGGGAGTACGTTGGTTTTTCCATCGCCTTTCGATTCACACCGGTCACTCGGGAATCGCGAGGATCCGTTTGAAGAGCTTGACGAGGCAGGGCGGTTTCCATGGGATCCGCTCTCCCCAGCTTGCCTCAAGCTGGGGGGGGCGAAGGTTAGCTGCGGGGTCATCCCACGATGGGAGGGCTTGCTCAAGATCCCACTGAACATTTAGAGCCGCTGATTCATAGACCGTACCTCAGAGGTTGATTCTCCCCATGACCCCCAAGCATGGGTTTGGTTTCATCGTTGTATATGGCCCTGGAAAATGCGGGATTCCTAGAATTGGGGACCTTCGGGTTGGTTTCAAAGGGAAACCCGAAGGAAACCAGCCATGCTTTAGGAGTGCCCCCCAATGCAAACACGCGGACCTTGAACCTAAACATGCACACAACGCACACAAGCAAACATACCATGCAAGCAAGCAAGCAAGCAAGCAAGCAAGCAAGCAAGCAGGCAGGCAGGCAGGCATGCAAGCAGGCAAGCAGGCAAGCAGGCAAGCAGGCAAGCAGGCAAGCAGGCAAGCAGGCAAGCAGGCAAGCAGGCAAGCAGGCAAGCAGGCAAGCAGGCAAGCAGGCAAGCAGGCAAGCAGGCAAGCAGGCAAGCAGGCAAGCAGGCAAGCAAGCAAGCAAGCAAGCAAGCAAGCAGGCAGGCAGGCAGGCAAGCAAGCAAGCAAGCAAGCAAGCACGCAAGCAAGCAAGCAAGCAAGCAAGCAAGCAAGCAAGCAAGCAAGAAAAACACCAAACAACATAAGCATTGCAAAACGCTACCACACAACCAAACGCATGTCATTAATCACAATTACAACCAGCAAGAAAGCAGCATCGGCAGGAAAAAACACACACACAAACAAGAAAAACCAAGCACCAGGCTCGGTTGCACACCCCGGTTGCCAAACCTAGAGGGGCCAACAAATTCGGGCAAGCACCTCCCTGTGGCCAAAAAACTTGGAGCCCGGGCGGGTCGCCGGCCGCGACGCGTCCGCTTTGAAACCTCCCAGGTCTGCGACCTGGGGGCGGGCAACGGCATCCTGGGGCTGGGCGCCCTGCTGCTGGGCGCGCCCAGGTGCGTCTTCCTGGAGGCGCGGACCGGCGGCTTTCCGGGGGCTGGGCAATTTGGATCCGCGGGAAGTTTCGGGGTGGAGGCGGAGAGCGGCCGGTTGCTGGGTCGGGCATGTTTTTCGCCAGGAGTGGTTTTTTTGGGCGCGTGTGTGTGTGTGTGTCTGTGTGTGTCTGTGTGTGTCTTTTTTGGGAGGGTAGCCCCCTTTTTGGGTGGTTTCAAAGTGAATCCAAAAGGACAGTCAACATTTAGAAATTTGTTTTGGGGTGCCGTACAAAGAAGACACACCGACTATTGAATTAAGCAAAAAGGAGCAAACAATGAAAATGCAGCCCAAACAAAAAGAAGAAACAAAGGAAGACCCGGCTCTGGGGGGAAAAACAAAACGGATCCGTTGGTGGGAGGGTAAACAAGGAGGAGCAAAAAGGAAGACCCGGTCCAAGGAAAAACAAAAACGGATCCGTTGCTTGGTTTGGCCGTTTGGGTTTGACCTGGTGGGGTTTGGTTCTGGGGTCTCCATGAATTTGGGTATACCCCGTGTATTAAGGGTCATGGAGACTCCCGGTGTTTGCTTTATGTTTAGCCCGTTTTGGTTGGTGATGCCGAAACCCCTGCATGATTGTTAGTCCTTATGGGTAGAGGAGATAATAGTGGAAAGTTAGGATGAACAATACCTCGACTGATGAATCGCGGTCCGCTTTAAGTGAAGAAGTCTTGTACTTTGTAAAGACGCATCCCTCCTTCATCCCAGGGTTGCATTACCCCCAGCGCAAGATAGCCCAAAGGGATTGGCCTTTCCTGCTTCTACTTGGCCCACCGCGCTCAAGCAAACAAAACAATGCCCTCACTCAATGATTAAGCAAGAACCAAGCAGCAGCTTGGTGGACCGCGCACATGCTGAACCAAACAAATACGTTTAGGCCGATAGAAATTGAAGAGCCAGCAGAGTTGGCCAGCCCAACCCGACATTTATTAGCCAAACGAGGGGGCAGACCCTGACAAAGCACATGGAACCGCTATGTGTGTGGATCTATGTTTTTGCACATGATACAATGCTTGTGAGTCAGTGGCTGAACTGTTTGGCATTCCTCAGCTTGCTTGGAACATCGGGGTGTGGAGGTGACTTTTTCGGCAGCTCGGTGAACCTAAGAACGAGGTAGCTGAAAAAGGTGCTGGTCAAGAATTTTGGGGATGGTGTCAGAGGGGTTCTTTCCATTTCTCCTCTTTGGGTTTTGGAATATCACAAACAAATCCGCTTTGCCAAGCTTCAGTGGCTGAAAGTGAGCTGTTCGTTTGGCTGGGTGATTTTTTGCAGGGGACTTGGAAGGAACCCAGCTCTCTTCATGTACTCTCCGAAGAACCACTGAGACCCGAGGGAAGAAAACGTCCAGGAGCCTTTCAGCTTCTTTCTGTTTGTTTTTGGTTGCCACAAATGTCACCTGATGTTTTTTTTTTTGCAAAGTCTGTTCGCATTTTGCAGATATTTCTTGGTGGCTCTCAGCCATCCGGTTCCTCAGCCTTTTAGTGGCAGTTTCCATTTAACCCACTAAAAGTTAAACTTTTAGCTGAGGATCTGAGGGCAGCCCATATTTTGTTTTGTGCAAGCTGGCTTCAAACAAACTTTTACGGGAGGGTACTTGGGGCCAGGTGGATGCCCTGGCATGCGCTGCGCTGGAGGACAGATGTGGCAAAGCGCGGGTGCTTCATTGGTTCGCGAAATCCCAAGGGAGACGAACTGGAAAGTAAACTAAGACGCCCATACGATCTTTTCAAGAATCCCTGATTCGGCTTCTTGGACTCTAACTCCGGCTTGCTTGGGCCCGCTTTTGCTGAACCCCGTGCATACTGGTTAGCCCTTTCGGGAAGAGGAGATGAATAGTGGGAAAGGATGAACAATACCTTGCTTGATTTGTCGGGCGCCCGTTAAAGCGGGGATTTTTCCAAGAATTTCCCAGGTGAATGAATGCGAGGGTAGCATTACCCAGGATCATCCCGAACGGATCGGCCTTTTACATTTTCCCACTTGGCCAACCCAGCTCAACATAGCAAGAAACAAATTAGGTGCCCTCACTGAACTGATCAACCAAACTGCCAGTCAGTCGCATTGGACATGCTGACCCGTACAAGTGTTTTTTTTGTTTGTTTTTGTTTTTCCGTTAAACATCAGCAGCCAAAGTAGTTGGTGAGGGCCTGCCACTTTGGGCAACGAAGGGGGCGGGCCTGAAAGAACACATGAAGCTCCTCTATGTGTTTGCAGATGCACAAAGATATACATGTATATATATATATACACGCATAGATATGTGGTAGCTGAATCGTTGGCATTCCTCCTTGGCTCTTGGACTTGGGGTGTGCGGAAGTGGTTGGCTTTTCAGGCCAGAAGTGACGAAGCAGCAAAGAATAAGAGAGCTGAACGTGGCGGTCAGAGTTGGGAGAATTCGCGGATGGTGTTGATAGGGGTCTTTGTTTCCCGTTTGGAGTGGGTTACTTTTGCCAACTGGATATGGATAAAAGTTAGACCACCAGGTTTTAGCCCGTCTTCGGGGCGACCCATGTTGGGTACCTATGTTTTGCCCTCACACCCAAACAAAGGAATCCCTCCAATGCCAGGTGAAACTTGGTGGTGCTCAGTAGGGAATGCAGGAATGAAGCCAGGGGTGCCCTTGAAGGACACCACTAGGTGGATTTCTTTTTTGGGATTCCTTGCTGAGCTCCTTGCACCTATGCAGCAGTATGCCATACCAGGTTTTGGTATATGGCTGTGGATCAAAAAGATGTACCAAAATGGTAAATGGGAAAGAATAAAGCCTGCTGTTTCATTTTGAGCCAGATGCATATGGCCCATATGGGCATGTGGCTACATAACTTTCTAGATATCTGTTTTGGCCATACGTGGCAGTCTGCCAATTTTCTAGGGGTATTTTCCCCATTCTTTCCAGGCATCCAAATCATTTTGCAAAACCACCAAAACCCTGGGGAAACAGCGATCGGTCTTTGAAAAGAACCATGGTTGAAAGGAATGGACAAGGAATCACTCGATAGACTAGAGTCTTTTGGAGGGCCCCCCCCCACCCCCCTAGGAATGCACTGGGCTTGATTCATTTGGGGAATCAGCCCCTAGAGCCATGCTGGGGTAGTTTTAACCTACCTAGGTCCCCCAGTAGTGCCCTTTCTCTCCTCTTTTTTGGGGGAGGGTTCCCCTAAAATAGACTACAGAAAAAGATCGCGTACCCATATTCTAACCTCTCTACTGGACCTAGCTACTTACCTGTGGGGAATTCAACCCCTAGTTCGCCCAACCCTCCGCCAGTCGGCGCCAGGACGGCCTGGCGGACCAGGGCCTCCAGGCGCGGGCGCGGGTGCTGCAGCGGGACGTCGCCCAGGCCGGCGAAGCGCTTCCTGGGAGGAAGTATACAGCATATACACCATTTTTCACTCAATATTGTAAACGCTTTGCGTTGCCCGCCTCGGCCAGTCCGTTTTTGGCTGGCTTTGTATACTGTGCTTTAGTTTGCCTTGAAGTGTTATTCAAGTGAGTGAGTCGGCGCCAAAAATGCGTGAGCTGGTTTGGAGGGTGGCTGCATGTCCGCGCGATTCCACCCGGCTTCAAGGGCCAGAACGAGAGCCGCAGAGAGCTACAGAATGGTGGGCCAAGGGCAGGTCCAAATTCCTAGGGAATTTGATTGTTTTTTTTGTTGGACTTTGCCGGTTTGATGGGAGACCTGTTTTCAGCGTGGAATTTGACCGGTTTTAAAGGGTTTGAGAAGAGGAAGTTGAGCGGTTTTTGACCCGTTTCGAGTTGTCTACGCTTTTTAAGGGGATTTGATCGGTTTTTAAGGGAATTGGGCAGGTTTTTAGAGGGATTTGCGGGGCAGGCTGGATCATACATACATACATGCATGCATGCATGCGTGCATGCATGCACATATACATGTATATAGGCAAAATATTTACATACATGCATACAGCCATACACCTTTACAAACCCACATATATATATATACAGTAAAATATAGTATGAATACGTATACGCAGACACACACATATATATATATATATGCAACCCCCTCAAAACCCGCGCCTGCTGCTTATGTAAGGGACGTCAGGTCATTTCAATCAGATGACCAGGCGTGGATTCATTTCTCAATGTTGACAGACTTGTGCAGACGAATCGTGAAGACTTTTGCCATCCATATCAATATGAGTTGCTTCTACTTTCTTGCAAGTTGTCTGTGTCATTCCTCATACATATGTTGGTGATAAACTATCAATATTTCAACACAAGTTAGTCGGAACATAGCAGCAGAAGCAAGGTTAGGTAAAGTGTCAAAGCGAAGTCGGGAAACAGTAATAATCCACAGGGTCTACACCATAATCTTTCATACATGCGTGTCTGAAACTCTTGTTCATTTGAGTCAAAGATAACACATTTGCTTTCAAATAGACATCACGTTGTGCTACGCCTATTTTCAATGCTAAAGCGTTTCCATTCTAATTCTGCATTTTCATAGTCTTCATCACTAACGTTATCCTCACTCAATTGACTGTAGAACATCTCTGTAAGCGCAAGGGTGTCAAACAATACAGCTGACAGTACCTCTGCTTCTTCTTCGTCACCCACGCATCTTCGATTTCTCATCTCAAGACAATGTGCAAACCCTCTGCGTCTGTCAGCTTACAAACCTGTGCCAATACCAAACATCTGCAACGCATCTTCCCTCTCTCACCTCAACTCATCTGCAAATCCCCCCTGCGTCTGTCAGCCACAAGCCTTTGGCAATACCAAAACACCTGCTCACATTTTATATTCCTGGACCAATGCCCAGCTGGCTGTCTGCTAGAACAACTATTGCACGCACCATGCAAAACGCTGGCATTTACAGTGTTGTTCAATATCCAGGGGTAGGCGTGAATTTCTCTGCGTCATTGGTAAAAAAAGACCATTCTCCAATGTCCATATGCTGAACCATCAACTGAATTTCCGCCCACAAGTCCAAAAGGATAGCAATGTGCGCTGGCAATTTGCACGCCCAAACAGGAATATGCCTGAACGCAGACGCTTTAAAGCGCGTCAACGCGCTTTGGGATCTAAGATTCAACAATCCAGATTTGTTCTTGAATCTTGAATCCAGTATGGGACACCCAAAACGCCTTGAAGCGCTTGCAAGCTCTTTTGAATCTTTGGGCGTGAAAAGAGCACGCTCCATTCTCGGCATGGGGGGTTCACTTTTTGGAGACAGCCCTGGGCAGGTGTGGTGAAAACAAACGTAACCACTTCAGCCAGGCCGGGAGGCCGGGCGCGTTCCGAGACGGCTCGGGTTTCGGCGGGCAGGCGGACGCCGTTGGCCGCTGCGCGCTGGTGATCTCGAATCCTCCCTGGGGCCAGCAACGCCGCTCCGCGGACCGGCCCTTCCTGGAGGCGGCTGGGCGTTTCGGCGGGTCTGCGGGGCGGTGGGGGGGGGGTTGGGGGTTGGGTGGTGCGGCGGTGAGATCTCGCTGATTTTGGGTGTTTTGGAGGGTTTTTTGGGCGGTTTCGGCTGATATCCGAGAAAACCAACAAACGCAAAAAAAAGGCAGACCCCATCCCGCTTGAGCCTACCCAAGCTAAGCCCAACCCAAAGCGCATCAGCCTTGCCCTTCCCGTTGGATTTCCCTTCCATGTTTGGTCAAGGCCCCACAAGACAAAACTTCCTTTCCAATTCCTTTGGGCCTTTCAAGGGGTCCAAACGGGGTCCAATACCGTTGACAACACCCCTCCTGATGTAATAATGTGAAATTGAATAAGCGGTTGAATGAAATGGAGGGATGCATACGTGTTTCAACAGATGTCCGTTAAGCATAATAAAACACTTTTCTCTTTCTTAGGTTGGGGCAAAGGCCAATTAATCAGTTTGAGCTTGCCTGGTAGAACGAAATATTACTTCAGGTGCGTGATTGAGATTTGTGCAGGAACCTACATCTATTGTCAGAGTGGCCCGCGAATTCCGGCTCAGAGCGCCGACATTACAGGCCTGCTTTCCCCCCCGAAGATCTATCCCCCTTTTCCCCGCTTAGGATCTTTTCCTTCCTTCCCCCCCAGATCTTTTCCCACCCATCTTTTCCCCCCTTTCCCGGCTAAGATCTTTTCTCCCCTTTCCTCCCTGATCTGTTCCCCTTTGTTTCTTCAAGATCTTGGACCATTTGATCTTAGGGAAAAGATCTTAGGTGGGGCAAGGGGGGGAAAGGGGGGGCAGGATTCTAGGGGTGGGAAAAGGGGGGGAGAGGGGGGAAAGATCTTAGGGGGAAAGGGGGATCTCAGGGAGGGAAAGGGGGCACCAGCATGGGCAACATCACCAGCATCACCTGCATCATCCTCATTAACGTCCGCCAAGGATGCGGATGATGCGCTGGGGATGTTGCGACAGATGCAACGGACCCGGCAGGAATCAAACACTCACAGCCCTGGTATGAACGAAAAGGGAACGTCATAGAATCACCGCCTGGCACGTGAACGCTGTTATGTGGGGAGTTCCTTTTTGTATCAAAGTGGCCATGCGATCGTTCAGCCCCTCGCAACCAGGGAACAACCACAGCAACGTGACACCTCCCAGCAGCCCCGCTGCTTCAATTTGTTGAGGGAACTCGTCGCAGGCGACGCGCTCGTTGAAGCTTCTTCACAAGTGGCTTGCTTGTGCCATGGCTTGCTCTTTTTTAGCGAAGTCTTGTTTGTTGCCGGTCTTTGTTGTTTAGTTTTTCTTGTTGTTTTGTTTGAAGGTTTCCTTGCCGGTTTTCATTCTTGTTGCAGCCTGTTCGTTGTTTTCGTTCTTGTTTCGTTGGTCCCTATTAGGGTTTGGCTCAAAATGGGAGCCTTTAGACGGTGGTTTTTTCAGGCGACCCAAAGGAAACCAGCCGATTTGGTCGGTTCCCGTTTTGAGACTCCCCTAGTGTTCTTTTGTGCGTGCACGCCAGGCGTCGATCAGCATCGCACAGCAGGCAGTGCACCTGATGCACAGCCGGGCGGCCCGGACGGCCTCCAAATGGGTGGCTCGTCTTTTTTGGAGCCTCGGGCCTTCGTTGGTGGTTTGGATTGGCGGTTTGGGGATTTGCATCCCAGAGCCATTTTCAAACCAAATGGGTGAGGTAGCCTTTAAGGTCCAAACCACCAAACCAAACCACCAAATAGGGGGAAAGTGAATATGTGTCTGTCTTTTTTTGGAAGATCTGTTTATTCTTTTTACAGCTTTGGAGAGGTCCAACCTTAAACAAGACACGCCCAGGACAAGGGCCACCGCAACGATGGTGCATGCCCCCAAAAAGGTCACACCAAAATGGGTCCAACCGTTGCGGATCTTTGGTTGTTGAACGATTCTATGGCCAAAGATTGTCAGTTGTTCAGTTGTTTTTGTCGGACAAGTGGACTGCATGTGTACATGTGAGTGACCCCCGCGTGTGGCCAAACTGAAAAAGAGACGAACACGGCTAATTTTGGGTCTGCTACGAACACGACATCTCCCTCTAGGGGCATCGGTCTGTGTGTTGGGGAGGGCTATAAAACAGCAGGCGGGCTGATGCAGCTGATTCCCTTACTGTTCAAATTGCTATAGCTCATGGTTGTGTACTTGAATTGCGGGTGTTCCCAAATTAGTGGACTCCGAGAAACATGTTTTCAGCTGGTCTTCTGGAAACACTTCGTATCCTCATTCGGCCTGAGCAATCAACCGGCCAAAAGCCCTCATGTCTGGGCAGCCAACGCCAGAAACACAAATTTGCTGCCCACTGCACTGACTTGGCGCGCTTGACATGGGATGGGCTCAGCTTGCCATTTCGGCCGTGACTACCTGAAAACGCCCGCAAGGGAACTGCGTATCACGTAGACATGACATAAAGATTCAGATACATTAGATGTGTTTGGTCTGTCTCTTTGTTATTACACGAAAAACAGCTCTTTCAAAAAAAGAAAGAACAAGAAGAGGAAAAACACGAAACAAACTCAGGTGATATCCCTAACAGCATGCCGTGCTCTTTTTAGTGCTCGCACCACCCCGCAGCCCTCGCAGAACCTCGTGGAACCCTGGCGGAATTTTGGTGGAAACCTGATGGAACCCTCGTGGAAGCTTACCTCAGGGCCGCCCCGGACACCCCCGGAGCCTATCTGGGCTGCGACCCCAAAGCTTTCACCTGTTGGGGAAAAAGGAGAAACAATACCGCACACCGCCGCCCCACATGTTACCTTTCTCTTGGTTTTGGTTGGGACAACTCCAACCCCAAGGCTCCCCCCCCCTCGGCTGCCTCCCCCACCCACCCGGCGCTCGGAAAATGGGAGGCTCCGGCGCCGCTCACATCGAGCCCTGGGCGGAGGACATGGGATGGGATGCCCAGCGCTGGCGCCGCGCTCAGCTCGGCCGACATGAGCGCTGCGGTGGTTTGCTTTGGTCGCCCTTCGGGTTGATTTAGCGGGAAGAGCGACAGAGACGCCGCCGTTTTGTGAGGTCCCTGTGTTGATACATGCACATATTATTCACTTGGTGGGTCGTTTGGGATGTTTCAGGTGGACCAGTCTCAGGAACGCCGAGGGAGAGTTTTCGATAGTCATGGGCCTCCAACGAGGGCCTGGGGGGCTATGCTTGCAGGATCACCCCGAAGGCCCTCAGGGTTGAAAAGCTCAGCTGCTCGCTTGGATCTTTCTTTGGACGCATCTTGGCGACCTGTTTTTGGTCCGCTTTCGAGGGTCTCGTGGATTCTTTTTGAGAGACTTCGGCTGTTTGGGGCTTCTTGAGAGATTTTTGAAGGGGTGATGCTCAAGGGATGCTCATTTGGAGGCTTGTGGAATGGCAGAAGCTCATTTGAAGAGTCAAGCAGGTGGGTTCAACCCCGTCAAGGGTGATGGTTCATTTGTGCCCATGCCAACAGATAGGGGTGCCTGGTTTTAGGGTACCCGGTTTGGGACTGGTTTGAATGGAAACCGACATGGGGTGTGAGTCCGAGGTCCTCAGGCAAGTCTCAAATCAGCAGCGTGTTCACCTTCGGACAGCAAAGGTGCTGAACAACAAACCGGACCTACTCTGCCTCTGTGGCGCTTCAAAGTGTTTGTGGGCAGGGGATGAACGAGCTGTCCGAGGTCCGAAACCCTTCCTGTGAGTGGCGAGTTCGTAAGATGCTGTTGGGGAGGACGGGGATTCAGTATTGGGTGTGGTATTTTGGGTATTCAGTGCCAAAGGCGTGTTTTATTTTCGACTTCTTGCTGAGTTGCTCTTTGCGTTTTTTTCCGCTTGGTTTGCCAAGCCAGGGGTTGAGATGCTGGGCGCCCCCGGCTGGTGACTCAGGCTGGAGGTGGAGTTCCCGCTGCCCCGGTGCTACGCGCATCACTCCAAGCGCCGAGGTTTTCGGGCGGGCGGGGCAATGCCGCCCCCCGGCCACCCTGCCTTTCCGGGAACGGGGGTTCGCCCATCTTGGTTTTTGGTGAGACTTTAGATTTGTTCCCCCTTGCAACCAGCCAGAAGCTGCCAGGGGTTGCATGTTTGTCCTCTTGCGGGGTTAAACATCGAGCCCTTTTTTGCGAGGCTCCGAAAATCTGAGATTTGGATACAGGGCCGGAACTCAACCCCGGGATCATGCAGAGAGGGTCCTGCTCCGTTTCCGGTGGAAAGGGCGCACAGCCTGGCCAGGTTTCACGTCGGCTGCCATGTGGAGGATCTCGCCTGGCCTTGAAAAAGCCACATCTGAGCGATGTGCGAGGGGGGGGGGCAGGGGGGGGACGGCGGGGCATGGAGGATGGGTGAGCAGTGTGAAGTCAGAAGCACCCTGCTTGCTTGTTTGCTGACTTGGTTGGCTGGTTGGCTTGCTTGCTTGCTTGCTTGCCTGCTTGCTGCTTGCCTGCCTGCCTGCCTGCCTGCCTGCCTGCCTGCCTGCCTGCCTGCCTGCCTGCCTGCCTGCCTGCCTGCCTGCCTGCCTGCCTGCCTGCCTCTGAAATTGCATGGGCAAGGTGAAATGGCACGATAGCGACCGATAGTGGACCGGAGCGTAACCCTGAAGCTCGTTCCCACTCGTTGAACGTCCGAGGAGTCACTCTTTCAGCTCCGTTGTAGAAATGGTGACCACGAAGCAAACGGCAAGCACGACGTTTCCCGCCAACGTCCGCTTGCGGAGGTCGGATATAGATTTTTTCAGGGTGTATCCCACTTTGGCTGGTTGGTGTTGGAAGTCGGCTTGCAAAGCGCACTACGGAGAGCCAATGGCAAGGACGGAGCCAAAACTAGAACCCGGGCAAGTAGATAGGGTTGAGTTAAGTAGACCTGTTAGGCTGCCGTGTTCACTTCGACGACCGCAGGGAGAAGCAACGCACCACATTTGTGTGCCGGTTTGAGTGAACATGGACCGCACGGCAGCCACACCCAGTGAGTTTGACCTGGGCCTTTGGCTCCATTTCTTGTGACCCAACAGCGATGCTCGCCGGTAAACCTCGCTCACTGTCGTTTTCCTGGTCAAGATGAGCTTTGCGGTCGGAAGGGACTTACTTTAACGGTGCCTTGGCCCTTTGTGTCATTCACTTAGTTTGGCCGTTCGCTTTTCTTTCCGTCTCCGGCGAAAGGCGCCCGGAGCGGAGCTCCCGGCCCGTGCCCGTCAGCTCATCTCAAGCACAGCCTCTCGCTGCCTCCTAAGATGGAGCCAGGTGCCTTGCTCGAATTGGGAGATCTGACTCAACCAGCCCAGCAAAACGGCTGGTTTGGTACCTTCCGGGCGCAGTTTAGCAGACCGGAGCCAAAATATGAGCCAAGAAAAACTCTTGGGAGTTTTCAGCGCCTTGGACTCCCCTCTCATTTTGCGAACGAGACGCCGAGCCACTCGCAAGAAAACCGCGCGAACGAGGCGCATCTGCCTCCGTGTGGGAGCGCTTCCTGACCGCGGAGCGCCCCAAAGGCCGCGGGATGTTTGATGTCGATGGCAAGGACTCCTCTCAGGGGAGACGTCATAACTTTGGGAGAAACAAAACAGATGGCACTGGTTTAGATGGGTTTATCACATGTACCAGGGCCATCTCTTTTTCCGAATGGTCACCTATGGGAGACATTTTTTGATGGCACATGGCCGTGTGTCGCAAGGCAGAAACCTCCAGTTTGCATGAGGTTGCTTTGGTGTCAAAACTCAGGTTAGGGACAATGAGAATGGATAAGGGACGAGGGGCAGAGGTAGGAGTTCCATACAGTTCTTTAGGCTGATTGTCCCTCCACCCCCCCCCCCCCCCACCCCCAAATTACAACCATGTCGATCAGCGGAAAGGGTTTGACCTTGCTTTCGAATTTGACAGTGAGTCAAGAAGGATATCTCAGAAATCCCCCCAAGCACAAAAAGGAGGTTTTTGCAGGGGTCGGGGGAAAAAAGACAAAGAGCAAAAGGAGTATCCTCAAAAATAGACTGAGGTCGCTTGGCACATTCGTCCTGGTCTATTGGGGAAGATCCTAACTGAAGCCTTGGACGCAGAAAGTCGGACCCAGCTGACACGGACCTCCTACTGAACATATGGCTTCCCCACGTCCACCTCAATGGGGAGAATATTTTCAGCGGGTCCGACTTGGTCCGAGTTTGGTTTCATTGGCTGGGGTAATGGCAGGGCGCAGTGTAGCAGACCTCATGGGCTAAAAGCCTCAAGAATGCTTTGGGGGAGTCCCCAGAAAGAAAAAAGAGGAAAACAACGCAGTGGTAAATCAAGTCTTTCGTGGCTGCCAGCTGACGAGCTGGATGCCAAAATTCCAAGCCACAGGCGAAGCCCGACACCCTTCCGAAATTCAGGGGATTGGTTTGTGGCCATATGAGGAGCGGTCTGGGGGCTATTCATTTGCGAGGACGTCCGACATACAGAGATGGGAGAGACACTGAGTTCCTCAAGAATTCAAGCAGAGGGGACACTGAATTGCCACTTGTCTATGGTGGGGAACATCAGATTGGCCGCTGCCTATAAAACCACACGCATCCCTGCACAAGGGTTGAGGTTTTTTGGTCGGCGTACATCAACGTTCCTCGGACCTGGTTGCCGACCTGTGGCACCCTTCTGCGTTTGGTGCGGTTGCCCCTTGCCGGGGTCCACAAGAAGGTTCTTGTTTTTGGGGACCAGGATCAGTGCCCAACCAGGAACGAGGGCACCCATGAGGGAGGAGCTTTCGTGGAGATTTCATTTGTGCCCTGTCCCGCCTTGCAACGGTTCTCCCACTGTTTTCACGAAAGCATCCAAGAGAAACAATCCAAAAACTGGTCATAGCTTAGTTGTTCGAGAAACTTGGATCAGTCTACACCCCTGGCGCTTAAAGCGACAGGCTTTGCTTCCGCGATGCGAACACCAGTTCGCGGCAGGCGACTCATGGGTGCTTGGTGACTTCAACTTGAACCCTACGGGCCTGCCCCGGCGCGGCGTGCCGCACAATTGCGCCGACAAGAAAGGCGCGGAAGGGCGACTTTTGTTTCTTTTTTTTTGCGTGGATTTCCTGGGGCAGTTGAAGGGGCGGGATGGGGCAGTGGCCGGTGAGGCGGAAATCAGGTCAACGGGCAAATGGCAGATACGCATGTTCTTTTGATACACTCACTCAAGCTCGCTCGGGGCCTCGTAGACGTAGCTGGTTTTTGGGGAGGGGTTTGGGGGGAGGGGGGATCAGGCCCAAAGCCGGCAACATATACTTGGTTGTTGTTGGGAAACATTTTACATTTTTGCTTATGGTTTAGTGGTTGAAATCCAGCCACTTAACGGCTAACATTTGAGAATTGTTGCTCCCCATCCAACGTCAACCATACTTGGCATTGCCTACCTTGAACCATCTTGGAGCCCGTGGCCCGTGGATGAAATCCGTTCGCACCGCAAGAAATCCTGGAAGGCTTGATTCGGTCAATGCCAACCAAGCTTATGGCTTCATTCCCGCGGTTTGCGGTCGGGTTGCGCCACCATCGGCGTCACTCGGTCGTCGCTTTGCAGGCAGCGAGGGCGTGCGCCGCGCCATGTCGGAGGAGCCGGTGCTGCTGTCCAGCCGCGAGAGCGCCCAGGCGGGCGCGCGCAGGCGCGGGGCTTGGCGGAAGTCGGTCGGAGGCTTGCGCTGTTTCCCTGCCATGTGGCAATTTGGAAGGGGGGCGTTTGGGGGGGGGGGGAATCCTGTGATGCGTAGAAAGTGTTGTTCCGACGGGCGTTTTTTTTTGGGGTAGGGGGGGAGGATTCGGTAAGCTGGAAACTGACAGTGGGAGGAGCAAATGAGCCGAGGAAAGCCCGGCGCAAATGTGCATCCCGCAGGAATCCACCACGAAACAAATCCGCAGCCTGGCATCTTTAATTTACTTCTACCAGGTCTTCGTGTTAGGTCTCCAAGAGGTGGCATAGATAGGTCTCGACTTTCCTTCAGTTAAAACTCTGAAACACAGATCGCTTCAGGCGCTCGAAGACGCCTTTGATGGGCTACGGACAGGCCCACCAAGGCGCGGCAAGTCTGGCGTGCAGATTTTCACTCTCTGGAGCTTTCATTCGCACTGAGAAACATTGGAACCCACGGTGCATCGCTCAATGAATCAAACCCCCAGTCAAGTTTCCTTTTCTTTTTCCTCCTCCTTGTTTACCCTCCCACCAACGGAACCGTTTTTGTTTTTTCCTTGGGCCGGGTCTTCCTTTTTGCTCCTCCTTGTTTACCCTCCCACCAACGGATCCATTTTTTTTCTTCCTAGGGCCGGGTCTTCCTTTGTTTCTTCTTTTTGTTTACCCTCCCACCAACGGATCCGGTGTTCTTTTTTTGCTTGGGCTGCATTTTCATTGTTTGCTCCTTTTTGCTTACCCTCCCACCAACGGATCCGTTTTTTTGCCCTCCCACCAATGGATCTGTTTTTTTCCTTTTTGCCTAGGGCTGGTTTTCCTCTTTTGCTCCTTTTTGTTTACCCTCCCACCAACGGATCGCTCTTTTTATTCCTTGGGCTGTTTTTCTTCTTCCTTTTTTGTTGGTTTTCGTTTACCCTCCTACCAAGTGATCCGTTTATTTTTTTGGCCTAGGGCTGGTTTTTCATATTTGCTCCCTTTTGCTTACCCTTCCACCAACGGATCCGGTGTTTTTTCTCCTAGGGCTGGTTTTCCTTCTTTTCTCCGTTTTGTTTACTCTCCCACCAAACATGGAAGTGCTCAACGCCCCTTTCCTTTTTGGAAAGTCGTCTTTAGAGGGTGCACTTCCATGTTGGGAGGGCACCCCCGAAACCTCTTTCCACGTGGCTTGCGCGGGACGACGTGGGGCGGAGGCCCGAAAGATGGGTTTATGTCGAAAGGGGCACTGACTGGAAAATGGCCTTCACACTCCTTGAGGTCATGGACTTTAAGCTCTCTATTTTTTGGAAGACCAATTTAGTGGCAAACAAACAGTTTGGACTTTGTTTGGGCCAGTCCACTCGATCGGAAGTGAAGCTTGACGACCGCTTCCCCTGTTCGGGGAGGTGGTGGAGCCAATCTAACCCCTCCAACAATTTTTACATGTGCAAGGCCTGTGACGTACCATCTATGAACGGAAACACTGAAGTTCACCAGCGAGATGTTGCATGGGTATTTTTGGACCGACCGCTCCGGCGGAGAATGGTGGTCAGCTTGGCTCTCATCCGTTTGGGGGTGTCTTTTTTTGGGACCCCCCAACATGGCGGAGCTTTCCTCTTGGCTTTGCGTTGAACCCACCCAAAAAACGGGGAGCACCCTCAAAGAATTTCCACCTGGCCATCCAGAAGCAGCTGGAAACCGAAGCGCCCACACCCAAGGAAAGGTTTTCAGAATCCTCCGAGGGCTTGAAGGTCTCTCCTGATGCTTTTGGTTGCTGAATGGCCCATGTCTAGTTTCTTCAAAAGGAAACATCAAAGGGAGACGGGTGATTTTTAGAGGTTTTTCCCAGACCCTTTGAACGCATCCATGTTCAGGCTTGCAGTTGCCACATTGCCACCAGTAGCGACCGAGGCAGGAAGACACGCATTGCGCTGAACTGGCCCTTCCCACATTTGCGGGTTTGCTTTCAAAATAGTGGCTAGCACCCTTTGGTATTTTGAGAAAGAAAACTGAAAGGATGCCAAAGCGTTTCCCTACATTTGTGGACTTTTCTTCAGCATCTTGAGAAGGAATTGGACGAGGTTTGAGGGTGCCCCTTTTCCGGTGGGTTCAAAGCAAAACCAAAAGGAACACCACCATGTGTGTCTTCTTTTTTTTTTGGGGGGGGCCTAAAAAAAGACACAAACACAAGCCATCCAGCCGGTTTTTGTTCAAGCCTCCTTCTCGAGGAGACGAGAACCAGCCGGAGGCAGGCGACATGCCGCGGCGCCGCCTTTCGGTCTCTTGGATGCGTTTGTGACGTGAGGTCGCTGTGATGCAATGAAGCTTGGAAGCAGAAAGCCTTCATCTTCCGTTTGCTGACACGACGTGTTTTTTCTTCTTCATTTTCCCTTGTTGGTTTCAAAGCTAATCGGTTTCGCTACTGTTTTTTTTCTTCTTTTTTTTCTCCGGGCGCGAAAAAGCAATTGGAAGTCGTTACTGTGGCAGCCAATTCCCATGAGGTGTGAATAATCATACGTTAGGATCGTGAATTTCTATCCATGTTGGTTCCGCCATTTCGGGGTTTCTGGGATTGACTCAGTTGGACCACCTTTTGTTTCTCAGCGTCGGTTAAGTTTGCCCCAGATCGAGACTCTCGGCGCATTCCGTTGACTCAACCCTGACATTTCTGCCATCAATGGCTCCTTCTGAGGGAATCCTGATTGCCATTTGCTTGGATCTTTAAGCTTTTCAACCTTTTCTGGGTGGAACCTTGCCTCCTGTTTGGGTGGAACTTTGCTTGGATCTTTAAGCTTTTCAACCTTTTTTGGGTGGAACCTTGCCTCCTGTTTGGGTGGAACTTTGCTTGGATCTTTAAGCTTTTCAACCTTTTTTGGGTGGAACCTTGCCGCCTGTTTGGGTGGAGCTTAGCTTGGATCTTTGAGCTTTTCAACCTTTTTTGGGTGGAACCTTGCCTCCTGTTTGGGTGGAACTTTGCTTGGATCTTTAAGCTTTTCAACCTTTTTTGGGTGGAACCTTGCCTCCTGTTTGGGTGGAACTTTGCTTGGATCTTTAAGCTTTTCAACCTTTTTGGGTGGAACCTTGCCTCCTGTTTGGGTGGAACTTTGCTTGGATCTTTAAGCTTTTCAACCTTTTTGGGGTGGAACCTTGCCTCCTGTTTGGGTGGAACTTTGCTTGGATCTTTAAGCTTTTCAACCTTTTTGGGTGGAACCTTGCCTCCTGTTTGGGTGGAACTTTGCTTGGATCTTTAAGCTTTTCAACCTTTGTTGGGTGGAACCTTGCCTCCTGTTTGGGTGGAACTTTGCTTGGATCTTTAAGCTTTTCAACCTTTTTGGGGTGGAACCTTGCCTCCTGTTTGGGTGGAACTTTGCTTGGATCTTTAAGCTTTTCAACCTTTTTGAGTGGCGCTTTGCTTGGATCTTTCAGCTTTTTAACCTTTTTGGGTGGCGCTTTGCTTGGATCTTTCAGCTTTTTACCTTTTTCGGGTGGAGCTTTGGTTGGCTCTTTCAGCTTTTTAACCTTGGTGGGCGGACTTTAAGCTTTTTAACCTTTTCGGGTGGAGCTTTGCTTGGATCTTTAAGCTTTTTACCATTTTTTGGGGTGGAGCTTTGCTTGGATCTTTAAGCTTTTTAACCTTTTCGGGTGGAGCTTTGCTTGGATCTTTAAGCTTTGTAACCTTTTTTGGGTGGAACTTTGCTTGGATCTTTACTTTTTAGCCTTTTTGGGCGGAACTTTCAGCTTTTTAACCTTTTTGGGTGGCGCTTTGCTTGGATCTTTCAGCTTTTTAACCTTTTCGGGTGGAGCTTTGGTTGGATCTTTAAGCTTTTTAACCTTGTTGGGCGGAGCTTGCTAGGATCTTTAAGCTTTTTCACCTTTTCGGGTGGAGCTTTGGTTGGCTCTTTAAGCTTTTAAACCTTGGTGGGTGCACTTTAAGCTTTTTAACCTTTTCGGGTGGAGCTTTGCTTGGACCTTTAAGCTTTTTACCATTTTTTGGGGTGGAGCTTTGCTTGGATCTTTAAGCTTTTACCATTTTTTGCGGTGGAGCTTTGCTTGGATCTTTAAGCTTTTTAACCTTTTCGGGTGGAGCTTTGCTTGGATCTTTAAGCTTTGTAACCTTTTTTGGGTGGAACTTTGCTTGGATCTTTACTTTTTAGCAGTTGCGAGAAATGAGATAGACTTGTGACCGCTTTGACAGTTTGGAGCATCAGATTGACTTGTTAGTTGTACAACAACAAATCCATCATTCATCAGCCATGATCATCATCATCCATCATCGATCATCGATCATCCAACACCATCATCATCATCGTCTTTTTGGGTGGAACTTTGCTTGGATCTTTCAGCTTTTTAACCTTGTTGGGTGGACATTTGCTTGGATCTTTAAGCTGTTTAACCTTTTCGGGTTGAGCTTTGCTCGGTTCTTTTTAAGTGTTTCAACCTTTTTTGGGTGGAACTTTGCTTGGATCTTTAAGCTTTTCAACCTTTTCGGGTGGAGCTTTGGTTGGCTCTTCAAGCTTTTTAACCTTGGTGGGCGGACTTTAAGCTTTTTAACCTTTTCGGGTGGAGCTTTGCTTGGATCTTTAAGCTTTTATACCATTTTTTGGGGTGGAGCTTTGCTTGGATCTTTGAGCTTTATAACCTTTTCGGGTGGAACTTTGCTTGGATCTTTAAGCTTTTCAATCTTTTTGGGTGGAACTTTGCCAAGCTTTTCAACCCTTTTTGGGTGGAGCTTTGCTTGATTCTTTTTAAACATGTTTTTCAACCTTTTTGGGTGGAACTTTGCTTGGATCTTTCAGCCGTTTAACCTTTTCGGGTGGAACTTTGCTAGGATCTTAAAGCTTTTTCACCTTTTCGGGTGGAGCTTTGCTTGGATCTTTCAGCTTTTTACCTTTTTCGGGTGGAGCTTTGGTTGGCTCTTTCAGCTTTTTAACCTTGGTGGGCGGACTTTAAGCTTTTTAACCTTTTCGGGTGGAGCTTTGCTTGGATCTTTAAGCTTTTTACCATTTTTTGGGGTGGAGCTTTGCTTGGATCTTTAAGCTTTTTAACCTTTTCGGGTGGAGCTTTGCTTGGATCTTTAAGCTTTGTAACCTTTTTTGGGTGGAACTTTGCTTGGATCTTTACTTTTTAGCCTTTTTGGGCGGAACTTTGCTTGGATCTTTCAGCTTTTTAACCTTTTTGGGTGGCGCTTTGCTTGGATCTTTCAGCTTTTTAACCTTTTCGGGTGGAGCTTTGCTTGGATCTTTAAGCTTTTATACCATTTTTTGGGGTGGAGCTTTGCTTGGATCTTTGAGCTTTATAACCTTTTCGGGTGGAGCTTTGGTTGGATCTTTAAGCTTTTTAACCTTGTTGGGCGGAGCTTGCTAGGATCTTAAAGCTTTTTCACCTTTTCGGGTGGAGCTTTGGTTGGCTCTTTAAGCTTTTAAACCTTGGTGGGTGCACTTTAAGCTTTTTAACCTTTTCGGGTGGAGCTTTGCTTGGACCTTTAAGCTTTTTACCATTTTTTGGGGTGGAGCTTTGCTTGGATCTTTAAGCTTTTACCATTTTTTGCGGTGGAGCTTTGCTTGGATCTTTAAGCTTTTTAACCTTTTCGGGTGGAGCTTTGCTTGGATCTTTAAGCTTTGTAACCTTTTTTGGGTGGAACTTTGCTTGGATCTTTACTTTTTAGCAGTTGCGAGAAATGAGATAGACTTGTGACCGCTTTGACAGTTTGGAGCATCAGATTGACTTGTTAGTTGTACAACAACAAATCCATCATTCATCAGCCATGATCATCATCATCCATCATCGATCATCGATCATCCAACACCATCATCATCATCGTCTTTTTGGGTGGAACTTTGCTTGGATCTTTCAGCTTTTTAACCTTGTTGGGTGGACATTTGCTTGGATCTTTAAGCTGTTTAACCTTTTCGGGTTGAGCTTTGCTCGGTTCTTTTTAAGTGTTTCAACCTTTTTTGGGTGGAACTTTGCTTGGATCTTTAAGCTTTTCAACCTTTTCGGGTGGAGCTTTGGTTGGCTCTTCAAGCTTTTTAACCTTGGTGGGCGGACTTTAAGCTTTTTAACCTTTTCGGGTGGAGCTTTGCTTGGATCTTTAAGCTTTTATACCATTTTTTGGGGTGGAGCTTTGCTTGGATCTTTGAGCTTTATAACCTTTTCGGGTGGAACTTTGCTTGGATCTTTAAGCTTTTCAATCTTTTTGGGTGGAACTTTGCCAAGCTTTTCAACCCTTTTTGGGTGGAGCTTTGCTTGATTCTTTTTAAACATGTTTTTCAACCTTTTTGGGTGGAACTTTGCTTGGATCTTTCAGCCGTTTAACCTTTTCGGGTGGAACTTTGCTAGGATCTTAAAGCTTTTTCACCTTTTCGGGTGGAGCTTTGCTTGGATCTTTCGGCTTTTTGACCTTTTCGGGCGCCCTCTCTGTCCGTGTTTGTCTTTTTCCGGCGCAATTGAAGCGAGTGAGTTTCATGTCAGCTGCCGAGTGAGTCCTGCCGCGGCGGTTTTTTCTTCACGGAGGAGCTCTCGGGGAGCATGACCAGCGGGGAGTCCATCCGCCAGGTCCTCCGCAGCCCGCGGTCGCCGCGGTGCCTTTCCGGAGGACGATCGGGGTCGGGAGGTCGAAAAAATCGGGGTGCTGAAGCGACGGACGAGTCAAGCGGGGCGGAGGTGGAGGCGGCGGGGGGAGCGGTCGTGGTTTGCTGCTTTTTTTTCTTCTTCCAAAGGTGGCCCTTGGTTTTTTTGGTGGTAAAGGGAGGGTTTGAAAGGAGAAGCACACCTCCCAGTTTTGGGGTAGGCCTACCGGCTCATCTTAGGGAATCAAAAGAGGTTGGGAATGAACCACTCGGGAAGAATTCGGGCAAACTAGGGCCGGTTTTTTGGAGCTCAACATCCTTGCCATTTTGGTACAGCGTTTTGACCCACAGCCGTTTGGATGACGCCCACTTCCGCCGGAGGTCCCACCCGCCGCAGCAAGACGGCGTCGGAGACCATCCTCTGCGGGGTGGGCGAGCGTTCGGTGCCGCCCCGGCGGCAGCTGAGCGCGGCTTGGCTCTTCTTCCTCGGCTTTTTGACGAGGAAATGAGCGAGGGCTTAGCGATTTTAGGCCACCAAAGCGATCAAACAGCTGTAAACCAAGCGGAAAAAGAGAGAGAACAAAAAACATGTCAACATGCATACGTGCGTGGTTGTGTCTTTTTCAATTTCTGAGGGTACGCTTGGGGTTGGTGAAAAGGGCACCCAAAGGGAAACCACGTTTTTTTTCCCCAATAACTACATCTCTGATGTGTGCGTTTTGGTTTGGTTGAATCTATGTGCGCCATTCTTGTTTTTTGTCCAGGCCAGGGGCGACGGCAAGGCGAACTGTGACAAAAACATGGTCTCCTCAATTCCCATCCGGGATCTGCCGCTCTACAACAGCAACGGTGCCCCGGCACGGAAGGATCGGCAGGGAGCGAGATGCGAGTGGCTTGGATGTGGCGGTTCGGTTTAGCCCTTGCTTCCGTGCAGATGATCTAGGGGTTGATTCCTTATCCATTCTTGTCAACCATCGTTCTTTTCAACTAACCAGCTGTTTCCCCAGGGCTTTGGGTGGTTTTCTGGAAAGAAGGATCCCTGGAAAGAATGGGGAGCTACTCTTAGAGATGAGTTTCTCTGCGACAAGGCACACAAGGCCTGAAAGCCTGACATGCATGTATTCTCATTTCGGGGAAAGCAGGCCGGAGATGCACGTGCACCCCAGCCCACCTGGCAAACCCTTGCTTTTCCCTTCGTCGGGTTTGCCGCCTTAAGCAAAAGCAAGTGGCAACAAAGCACCCTGTTTGGGGGGCAAACCTACCTGACAAATCATCCCTGATCCAGGAAGTTCTCCACAAACCAAACCGCCTGGGTTTGTCTCTAAGAGGACTCCTCCCCTTGAAATGGCCAAAATGCTTACAGGTTTCACTCCCAAAAAATGGGGTTGGCTTCCTTAAAACACACACACCCGCAGCGCCATTTTTCTAGGGGTTGATTCAATGTTGATTCCCCATTCTTTTCGTTCTTTTCAAAAACCGATCGCTGTTTCCTCAGGGTTTTGGGTGGTTTTGTAGAAAGATCCGGATGCCTGGGTTCAGATCGGAAATGGAAGGTCCCCCTAAATTTTTGAGAGCTTCGCCCCATTCCCAGGCACGCTGCTCCAGACGGGGCGCACCGAGAATCACGTCGGCTCCCGACTCCTCGAGCACAAGCGGGCCATGACGCCCTACTCGCAGCGGCGCCGGGAAGACACGGTGAAGGCAAGCGCCGGATGCGAAGCTTTGCAGTGCGATGGGGATCCTTCTAGAACCAGAAAAAGAGCCAAAAAACCGGGGGAAACGGCCGGAGTGTGAAAAAGAGTCATGGTTGAACAGATGGGATCAACCCCTAGAGTGTGTTTTTCTTCTACAAGTGCCGGGGGTTTAGGTGGTTTTGAATCAAAACCAAATGCAACTTGGAAGCCAAATGTTTTGAGGAGTTCTTTTGTGTCAGACAAACCACATGTTGCATTGTTGTAAGCGAAGCAAGAGCGACTCGAAAGATGAAATGCAGATTGATCTTATAAGGGGCTGAGCTCCAATCATGTTAATGGGGGCCCCGTTCATTGGGGAGACTTAGAAATGGGTCTCCCTTTTCTCTTTCTTTGTCTTTGTCTCTGTCTCCTTCTCGGTCTCCGCCTCCGCATACGGATCGGTCTCTGCCGCTTCCTCTGTCTCTCTGCCTCTGTCTCTCTGTCTTTCGCTTTCTCTCTCTCTCTCTGTCTCTGTCTCTGCCTCTGTCTCTGCCCAATCTCTGTCTTTGCCTCTGCCCAAATCTCCCTCTGTCTCTCTCTCTCTCTGTCTGTCTGTCTGTCTGTCTGTCTGTCGGTCGGTCGCTCGCTCGCTCGCTCGCTCGCTCGCTCGGTCGGTCGGTCGGTCGGTCTGGGTCTGTCGGTCTGTCGGTCTGTCGGTCTGTCGGCCTGTCGGTCTGTCGGCCTGTCGGTCTGTCGGTCTGTCGGTCTGTCGGTCTCGGTCGGTGTCGGTCGGTCGGTCGGTCGGTCGGTCGGTCGGTCGGTCGGTCGGTCGGTCGGTCGGTCGGTCGGTCGGTCGGTCGGTCGGTCTGTCTGTCTGTCTGTCTGTCTGTCTGTCTGTCTGTCTGTCTGTCTGTCTGTCTGTCTGTCTGTCTGTCTGTCTGTCTGTCTGTCTGTCTGTCTGTCTGTCTGTCTTTCTTCTTCCTTCTCTGTCTTTCTCCGATTCTTTCTGCCGAAAGTTCGTGGTGCCTGCCAATGCCATTCGGTAGGACCTGCTGTCTCCCCCACTTGCGGAGCCGACGGCCTGCGAGCCAGTGACGCCGGAGACGATGGCGTCCTCTTTCGCCTCGTCCCGCCTGCTGGCGTCACCGCGGGAGGTGCGGGAGGCACCGGCGACACCCCGGCAAAACACGCCGGCGGGCGGCTCGGCGTGTCTGGTGTGTGGGCTTGAACCCTACTGACCCTTCAGGATGAGCATCTCCCATAGCTTGCCGGTGCTCAGCAGGGAATGTGGGAATGAACCCAGGCGTCCCCTGAAAGCAAACCACCAGTTGGATGGTTTATCTCGGGGTCAGACTCAGTTTCTCATTCCCTGCATCTCTCGCACCAAGCTGGAGTGCCCTAGGCCGCGGCACGGGCGCGGTCCCGGCGCTGGCCGCGGCGGCGGCGGGGCGCTCTGCAGCGCTGGCGCTGTCGGCGGCGGCGCGACGCGGGGACGCGGAGATGGAACTGGAGAGGCGCAGAGCGCGGGCTGGGCAGGTTCCCCTGGTGGCTCAGGGCTTTTTGAAGCATTGTTTGACAGGATGTTCAAGCAAAGCGCTTGGAGAGCCCCGGGTTTTCAGACAAACCTGAAGCTACTGCAATGTTTGGCTCACGCGTAGCATTCCGGTCGGGGGAGATGACAGACATCGCCGACAGCACTTTGTCAAAGGGTGATGTATGGACGCATACATGAACTCACAGCCATAAATGGCCACTTGAGTGGCTAGTTTCCCATGCTTAAGTCACAGTTGAGGGATCATAGACCGGTTCCAGCAGCTCATACCCAGGTTCATACAAGAGGTTCATCTCAGGGGTTCATACCAGGGGTTCATCCTACGGGTTCATACCACTCATACCGGGGTTCATATCAGGGGTCATACCAGAGGTTCATATCGTTTCTTAAGACTGACCCTGCCATGAACGTTTGGTACGAACCCTGGTATGAACCCTGGTATGAACCCCCTGATATCCTGATATGCAGCTCTGGAACCTTGAATTTGGGAGAAAACAACAACGCCAGAAATGGAATTCGGAAAAAACCACCGGACATTTTACCTTGAATCTTGAACTTGAAAAAGCACCTTGCCAGTTTTTTTTTCTTCAATAAACCTTGAATGTACAAAACAGCATCCATCTATTGCTGAGCGGGTTTTGGACCAATCCGCTGGCCCTGAGGTCCAAGTGCCTATCCAAGTTCGACAGGCCGGGAATCGGGAGGGGAAAGAGCGGCGCTCGCATGCACGCCGGCACGCCTTTTCTGTAGATGCGTGTGTGTATCTATAGTATGTATGACATATATATATATATAGAGATATATGTGACATATATATATGTATAAAACATATGCATCTCATGTGTCTATGTGTCTATGTGTCTATGTATATCGAATATTGGTATAAGCTATGCATGGAGAGATCGTCGCAGGCTGTGCTCCGCCCCGGGGCGGGCTGCGCGGGGCGGCCGCTTCCAAGAACACTGGAGCTTCCGCGGCTTGGACAGCGTCGAATCTGACAGAAGTTCCCATCGACGGCTGGGATCCCCAGAAGCTCCCCTTTTTCCTTTACGCTTTGGGGTCCCCTTTGTTTCCCACTCACCTAGTAGCTGGGATCCCCTCATGGAAATGGCCGGCATCTGCTCCAGCTGCAAAGCAACTCTGCTGCTTGAGTGGGGGGCCCCACAGAAGTTCCCATTGGGTTGATCAGTATTCCTGGCCCCCAAACCATGGGTAGCTTTTCCCATGACGTCAAATCTGTTTTGGTTTCCCTGCTGGTCACCCATGTAAAGACCGACCTTGTGATCAGCCCCCGCAGCTTGGTGGCTCCAAAAGGCCATCCGGTGCCTTAGCTTTTTAGTTGGTTTTAGTCGGTTTTCGTGGCAGTTTCCGTATTTCACCCATAAGAGAAACTTTTGGCAGCGGATCAGAAAACGGGCAGCCCAGAAATGGAATCCGCCCAAAATGGATCTGGGAATTGGATAAGTCGACAAAAACCTGCGGTTCTCTGGACATCTCGTCAATTTTGAGCCACACACTGGGCATTTTCCACTCCATGCATAGGGGTTCTTAGTGAGGCAAGATGCGTAGCAAAACTTTTTTTTAAGGGAAACGCAAAACAAGGGTTGTTCAACCAGTGCTGGTTTAAGCATGATTAAAGAAGAGATGGCTGAAACCCTCTCAGGGCCCAGGATTTGCAAGCTGCTTAAAGTGTTGCATTTTAATGGTGCTCTGAACCTCTAGAAATGCTGACCAAAGTTCGAGAGAGGCCACTTGGTATTGGGCCCCTTCTTTGCTTTTGGGAAGCAGGACACCTTTGTTTCTTTTTCTTGGGTTGGTTTGCCTTTAAACGGCCAATTGGAGGGGATCGTTGAGTAAACACCCGTGCCGTTTCAGCTTTCGAAGGGAGTGGTGTTGAAATCCTTGGCACGTTGGATCGGGGAATTCAAAAAAGCTGTGGCTCAAAAAGGTGGTACCAAAATGGCACCTTGGTAGATGGAACCAAAGACTAACACCTGCGCAACCCGGGCTGTTCATTTTTGAGCCATACCCAATTCAGTCTCCTCTTCGCGTCTTCGACGGAGAATGTTTGCAACTTCAATGGGCGAGAAGAAGCGAGTTGGGAGACCTTGGAAGGCAAAGGTTTCCGGACAGTTCTGCAGGTAAGCCCACCATTTGGGATTCCTTATGCTCCCAAATATTCACCTTCAGTCTCATTGCCGAATGGAGAGAAAACCATCGCTTGGCTTGTGGTTGGGATACGGGCGTGTCTTTTTTAGATGGATCCCTCCAGAAACAATGGTTGTGTTCCTCGTGGTTTCGTTTTAAAACCACCCAAAAAGTTGGACCTTTACCCCCCCAAACCCCAAATGGCTGTTTTTCCCTTGTAATGTTCGATCTAAGACCACCAGAACGGACTGACTCAAGGACCCATACCTCGCACTTTGAGACTCAAAGCGCTGGGGGTTGCTTCCGGGCGAGAAGTCGCGCCAGGGCCGAGCCGCCGGATCTCCAACGTGTGCCTCCGGCTGTGGGGAGGGGGTCCGGGGGGTTGGGGGGGGTTGGGGGGGCGGGGGGGCGGGGGGCGGGGGGGGGGGGGGGCCTGGTGTCCTTTTGATGGGTGAGTTTGGCTGAAAAGTGGTTTAGAAGGGTTTTGAGCACCATTTACCAGGGGGTTCTCCATCGATTTTTCCGAAAGGCCACGACTATGCATGTTCCTCTAAAATCTGGTGAGCACGGCAATGTGGACGAGGGGTGTAGATTATGTTGCCTGGGTGCTCAGATGCGCAAACCCCATGTTCTGGTCGGGCGCCCTGCCTGGAGACAAGCCGAAGGCCTTACACCCTGCTTTTGCGGAAGGTCCCCTGTTAGTTTTTTTCTTCTTTTTTCTTCGGGAACTTTAGGGCAGCAATCCAATCTGGGGCACATCCCACTTGGACAAACTCCGCATGTCTATGGCCCTGCGCGCAAATTAGATATTCCCCCCACGAAGCTTTTGGTTGGGACCGCACATGGCGAAGCTTCATTCTTTTTTTGGGCCCCTGAACTTAGTTTGGCAAACTCCCTGACAAATTCACCCAGCCGTTTGATGATCGGTAGGTTTTGTAGGGGGCCTCACCAAGCCTTTGTCTCAGGGGCCCTTAGCAGGGTCGGGGAAGGAATGTTGAAACAGCCACACCCTGACCCCTTTACAGGGAAACTACCAGGAGGTTGTTCAAGCCATGGGCGGTGGATCTATGTTTAAACAACGGGTTGGTCATTTGGGTCGTCAAAGTCAAAGCACCAACCGCCAGGCTATTATGGACAGCAGGTTTTAGTTTCCATGTTTCCATTTACCAGGGCCACCCATTTTGGTTCCCTCCACGAGCATGGAATAGCTCCCTGTTAAAGGAAAGCAGTCTTCCAGGCCTATGGGGTTCCATTTTAGCGGGCAGTTACCCAAAATGGGCTGCCCTGGTAAATGGGACCACGGAAACTAAAATCTACCTATCGCAAAATGGGCTACCCTGGTAAATGGAAATAACAAGCTTGGAAACTAAAACCTATGGTTGATTTCTAGGGGGTGCCCCCTTTTAGTGCGCGGGGGTTCAGACCATTTTTTGATGGGAACAGCTCCCATGAATTGAACCTTATGAAGTACTCTGGAGGGAGCTGGTAAAATCTATGCAGGCCGATCAGGTTCCATCTTAGCGGACAGTTACCCAAAATGGGCTGCCCTGGTAAATGGAGCCACGGAATCTACCTATCGCAAAATGGGCTACCCTGGCAAATGGGTCACCATGAAAAAGCCCAAACCTACCTATCGCAAAATGTGCTAGCTTGGTAAATGGGTTACCATGGAAAAAGCCAAAACCTACCGACGGTTGACCTATGCAACACACAACCGGCAGGGAGACGTCCCAGCCCTTTGCCACGGACTTCACGGAGCTTCAGCGGTCGCCTTCCCCCCGTCAGCATCCGCTGGACGTGGCCTCAGCCCAATTCCTGGTGCGGGCCTCTGCTTCGTTCCGTTTTCGCTCGGTGCAGTTCGTCTGTGGGTTTGCGTTTGGTGGGTTGGTTTTGGCCTGTCTTTGGTTTGGCTTGGCTTGGTTTATTTGGTGGGCTGGTTGGTTTGGATAGGTTTGGTTTATTTTTATGGTTTGGTTGGTTTTGTTTTGTTTAGATCGATTCGGTTTTTGTTTGGTGGGTTAGTGGGTCGGTTGGCTGGCTGTTTGGTTTGGTGTGGTTTGGTTTGGTTCGCTTTTGGTTGCTCAAAGTAAACCCATGTCACTTCCCCAGAATTAGCTCCCCTTTTTCCTTTTTTACGCTTTTTTGGGGTCCCCTTTGTTTCCCACTAACCAGGCAAAAAAGATATCTTTTTGCTGGGGTCCTAATTCCAGCCTAGGTCAGAGGGTACAGCAAATCTTGGCCTCAACGCTTCATTATGTCCATTGCACGATTCCAGCACCAGATTTCTGGCATCGATGGCAAAGTGAGCTCACAGAAGTTCTCTAAACTGGGACACCCGTGTCAACGGGTTGCTGGATTAGTAGCTGGGATCGCATTACCTCCCCTCCTCACTCCACAATGGAAATTGCCGGCCCTATCTGCTCCATCCGCTTCCGCAACTGCTTTGTGAGTGGAACCCCACAGAAGTTCCCATTGATTTGATCAGTATTCCTGGCCCCCAAACCATGGGTAGCTTTTCCCATGACGTCAAATCTGGTTTGGTTTCCCTGCTGGTCACCCCATGTAGAGGAGAACCTTTTGATCAGCCCCCCCAGCTTGGTGGCTCCCAGCTAGCTTTTGGTTGGTTTGGTGGTCGGGTGTCCATTTCGCCCACGAAACATTGTTCACTTTTAGCGGGGGATCTGGGGGCAGCCCACAGAAGTTCCCACTTATTTCCCATATAGGGCATGTCTTTTCTCGGGGTCATTCCATTCGCCATTCCCTGCCTATCGAAATAGGAAGTATGTAAGACCCCATTGGTTTTATGCTGGACAACGGTTTGGAGGTGCTCTTTTTTTGGAAAATTTCACCTGGCGGGTTAGAAGCTACAGGAAGTCAAAAAGGAATGACTCTAAAGGAAACCAAAACGGGGATGTTTCCGGGGCCATTCGATTTCTTGTTCCCTGCCTATCGAACCAGCAAGTGTATAAAACCCCGTTGGTTTTATGATCCGCTTGCCATCTCCTTGGCTTTTTGGCAGCTTTTTAGTTGGCTTAGGTGCTTGGGTTTCCATTCAGCCCACTGACACCCCACATAAGTTCCCGTTTACTTCCCATGGGTTTTCTTCATCTTGGGGCCGTTCCGGGGTTGGGAATGAGCCTAAAGGAAATCACACCGGGGATGTTCTCGGGGTCATTCCATTTCTCACTGCCCTGACCAGCCAGTTTATTATAAACCCCATGGGTTTTCTTCATGGGACTGATCCATCGATCTCGTCAGGGCGAGAGCCCGGAGATGTTGGGCGCCTCCGAGCGGCACCAAGACGCCCGTCGCACCTGGCAGCTGGAGATGGAGATGGCGGGAGATCGAACGATCGAGCCCGCGTGATTCGGCATGCGCCTGAAGAAAAGTTGACATGAGCCATGGCGCATTGAGTTGGCAGCGTCTGTTTCTCAGGAAAATTCCTCCCCCCCAAAAAAAACAACGAAAGAAGAAAGCAAGTAGTTTTCCCTTTCGCTTTTCTTTGAACCCCCCCAAAAAAGGCGAGGGTTTCCCGGACAAAACAATATAACAACGGTCTTCCCTTTGGGTTTTCCTTTGAACGCCCCCAAAAAGCAGGTTTCCCAGAAGAAAAACAAAGACGAGGTCTCCGAGTCGGATTCGGCTTCGCCAACTCCGTTAGGCCAAGATCTCCCTGGCAGCCGGCCGCATTGCCGCGGTCTCCACCCTGCAAAGCACCAGGCGCGGACCAAGGAGCTTGGGTATTTCTGGAACATGGATGATATGGATTTGCCCGGAACTATGGCAAACCTGTTTTGCTTGATTGTACCGTGTTCGGGTATTGAAGTGAAACCAATCAACCACCAGGGGGGGCATGGCGGGTTTTCGGCTTCTAAACCTTGGAGCTGGCCCTGTTTGGTGGTTGCTTCATTGCATGGGTTTCAGATTCCGCCTAGTTGGTTTGGAGCCCAATCGGTGGTGTGGTAAGGGGTGGTTTCCTATTTGCCCTCTATGAAAACCAGATTTCAAATCCCCAAACCAATGCAAAACCACGAATTATATACTGTAAGGGTTGCCTGAGTTTTGGGGGAAGGGCGACGCACTTTTTCTGGCTTGCCATTGGGGTCATGTGGGCGAGCGGCGAGATTCATCCAGTTCTTTGGTGCATTTTGCTTGGATGTTAGGACTTTCACCTTTTGCCAACTGATGGGTTCTCCATTGAACCACTAAAAGTTAAACTCTTGGCAGGGGAGCAGAAAGCAACCGAGAGTTGATACAGTGCTACACTTGCTTGCAGTGAAGGACCGCTTTCTGCAAATCCCCGTTGTTTACAGCCAGTGAAGGTTCGCAGCATGGTGGTTGCTTGCAGCCCGTTTCATGAGAATCATTCGTCCTTCATTCAAAGCAACCAACAAGAGGAACCTATTCTCTTTTTTCTCTTGTCACGGTCAAGTTGCGCAGCGCATCAGATTGTGAATCGACCTCAACCATAGCACTGAGT